TACGAACCTATACTGAAGTGTTCTAAGAGTTCATGGTAAGGCCCCTGTATTGCTTATTAAGCATGTACAGGGCGACAAAAAATAAATCAACGGGACAAAAGCTTACGATAAGAGACGATAGTAATATTAAATTACATAATTGTAAGATCCAACGTTTGTTGGAGAGATTTTATCTTATTAATGAGAGAGTAATAAAAGAAATCATGGTAGTAAAACCTTGTGATGTTCAATAAATTTCATAAAGAAAGTAGTTTTGAAAGTCTTGGTTTCGTGGATGCACATTGTTTACTTTTTAAAAACGCCATCTTACAGAGTGATTACAACCGTCTGCTATCTATTACAGGCGGCAAACAGCCACCATCAGAGCACGCGGCTGTGTGGGTGCCAGATAACGAAGCTTCCATCTGCATGCACTGTAAGAAGACACAGTTCACTGTCATTAACAGGAGAGTGAGTATAATTTTAGCGCTCTGTGGCATACTTAGCAGTAGTGGTAGCAGTTCACTTGGTAAATTATATATTTTTTGTTTATTTTGGTACAAACAGTCGTTACAAAATTAAGGAATATAGAAAAAATGAAGCTAGAGTTGTCGCATCCAGCCTCCATGGACCAGGGGACTGTCTGACCCCAAAGACAGACTACTAGACTAACTGGAATTCAAAATTAGACCGTTTTTCTTTTGAACTTAAGACGACGACCGGCTTTCTTTTGGAAAAAAGACGACGGGGGGAGTCTTGACTAAAGGCGCCTTCAAACTAGGGGAGGCATAGAAGCGCTGCAGTGTTAATTTTCATACAATATCTATAGTCTGTCTTTTTTGAAGATGGAGTAAAATGACATTTGCAGGGTTGGCAGTTTAAGCAAAATTTTAACTAGTCATGTAGTTGTTATCGACAATTTTATCGATAAAATGTAAAAGTAGATAAAATTTTGCCAAAAATGTCTGAATTGTGAATGTTACGATGTTCTAATGATTACTAATTGCTTATTGTATTTTTTATTCTTATTTTGACTGTTAGTCTTAGTTGAAATAAGTTTTTAGCCATACACATTTTAATAAGGACAGGCGGATTTGATTATGTATATTCAACATTAAATATATCTCCTATTTGTATTTTTAAATATATCTCCTATTTGTATTTTTTATACACGTACTGTTAAATTTGTTGTATGTTTGCATTTTCAGAAATTAACAATTCAAATGAACCTGTGCCCAACAGTTGCACGAATAATTGCCCAATGATGATTTAAATGAAATAAGTTAGGCTATTTATTTAATCAACATGCAATCGATAGTCGATATAATCTTTATCGACTGCAATCACTAGCTGCTTGCAAGCGGGCAACACTTTTGTGCAATGAAATGTCCTTTTTCTCCGTCTCAAAAAAGACCGATTTATAGTCTGCAAAAGTGGCGCGACTGCGCTTCGTAATATTGTATAAAAATTAGTAGTAATGCGTTAGTAATGCAGCAGTGGCTGCAGCGTTTCTATAAGCGTCTAATTTAAAGGCGACCTCAAGCTCTGACGCGAGCAGACGACTCCACATGACTAAATTTGTATAGGCAGACTGTACAATGCTGTAGACATCGAGTATCGGTATTACACTTAAATAGTAATAAAATTGGCCATTCCATGTATATTGCAATCATTACAAAGTAACTATGAGGGCAATGCCAAAAGTTAAATAATAACAATAAAAATCATTTATAGAGATTTTTTGTGAAATAACTCCAATAGTTTTGTTATGATTATGAATACAAAGATCGAACACACAGAAAAACTTTTCGTCGACCCAGTGCGAATTGAACCCACGTTCATGCTGCACCGTAGATTTGCTCTAACCATCTAAGCCACGGGTGCAGTTACAGAGTCGTCGAAATTAGTCTAGACATCTTATTTTGTAATTGCAAAGATTGGACTTTAATTTTTTTTTAAAGAAATTGATGAAAAGTTCAAATGCACCGCGGAGAAACACGTGTGCAGTACATTTGAGTAACAGTAAGAGCAACAACTCTTACTGTTCTCCTTGAACATTTGGCACAAATAAATAAAATGTCTTTGTTTGCATGTTTTTAGCATCACTGCAGAAAATGCGGCTCAGTAGTATGCGGTCCGTGCTCATCGAAGAAATTCCTGCTTAAGGGACAGAGCGACAAGCCGCTGCGCGTCTGCCTGCAATGCTTTGACGAGCTCAGTCGCCAACAGCGCCGCCCCAACAATCCGCAATCCTCGGCCCTCGGTCAGTTTCCATTAATTTATTTATTTGAATATAAATTTACCAACGGTTCCATAAGCACAATATATTCTACCACGCATACAAACTATCACTTTGTTAAATTGCGAATTTGAACGCTACATACATATCTGAGGTTCAATTATCAATTAACAATTCTGACATTTTCGTTTTTAGAGTACAGCTACGCAAACTAACTAAAAAATGCTAATACAAACCTAAATATAAATAAAAAAATTTTATTTAGGTTGCAGTTTTAATTTAAAGTTTTTAAGGTCTCTTCATGATTAATAAAAACACGCTAATTGACGGGTCTCTAAAATTGATACAGTCAGTTTAAAACTCGCTGCTCGTTTCGAGTTTACCCTTAATAAAAGATTCGTCATCATTCTAAAATGACCCTTATTTGCTATGACTTACATATTTATTTATTATATTCTAATGTCGTCTTCTTCTTTTAAATGCTATGGCCCTATCGAAGTAATCGATGAGTTCGCCAATGTCAAGTTGAGGAACACACGCGTCTTTACTCAAAAATTTCGACAAAATTCACTGATGGAAGAATCTACGATAGAGAAACTACACTATTACAGAAACAATTTTTTTTATATAAATTTACACAGCACATGCACAAAGGGATTGCATTAAAGTTTAAGTACGTCTTAAACCAATGTTTAAGTTGTTGTGTTAAGAGTGTCATTGCAAGACACAAGTCTAAACAAATTTTGTTTCCTTAATTGCAATTACAATAAGAAGAACTAAAGATGATCACCACTGTTTGCATGGTCTAATTTTTTTAACCTAAAGTTGCCTAGTAGAAATTATTACTTATCAATAAGGCCGCCTATTTTGCATCAGCTTATTTGTAACGTAGTTGAGTTCCAGTTCTGTGTTGCCATTGTATTTTTTTTGTGAATGTTTAATTCATGTATCCATCAATTAATTTGGAAATCTTTTAAGATGACTTTACTTGATGTATTATGAAATTATGTTCCTCCCAAACAAAATTACCGCTGATTGAATGTTGTGAACCTTAACTCTATACACATTCAATTCTCATTCAAACAACTATGAACAAAAATTACACAGTTTACTTTGTTACTAACAGCCAAATAACGACAAGTATATCATATAGATTAGATAAGTGGTGCTTGTGTTTTCGCTACGCCACAAATTTTATCTATAAATATTATGTTTTTGATATGCCATGATTTAAGAATAATGTTTCATTAAGTTATAATAGGATATTTGACTCAATTTTATTTTTTTTACTGCCATAAAAAATGATGAACTTCTTTTCCCTTTTTTTTTAAATAAAAAGTGTGCTTTAGACCTACATCTCACATGATGAAGTAACGATGAATCTCATATACTTCCTACCCATTGTCAAAACGGACAAGCCTTTTCTGTTTTTCTACAGTTCGTAATTAAATTATATGTATATTCCGATACACCATTTCTTAGGGTCACTGTAACGTCAGTACTGACGTTTTTTTGTTCTTTGCGTAATAATTATATAAATCAATTCACGGGCAATTTATATACTATAAAGCCCTTTCACATTCATATAATAATAATATCTTTTACACTGATAACCCCGCCCTAGAGAAACCCTGTGTCGCGGGTGCTATGGACACACTAATAGATAACCACAAATTACACCCAAACTCAGGAGAAAAGTAAATGTAAGCCATACAAATATTTCTGGAATCGACCCCGAGACATCTGCGTGGTAGTTCATCGTGGTAACCGTTCGGCCACGGAGACAGTTATTTATAATACAAACTATATATTAATATACAAACGCGCGTTTCAAACGCTCGATAGCATCGCGACACTTGCGATTTATATTATAGGCAGTTGCATCGATGCAAAAGCGCGATTGCATCAATACGGTCGCTTATGTTGAATCATTAAAAACGTGGATCGCGATTGTATCTCTGTTTAAGTCGCGCGTGTGTAAGGTTTGCGATAAGCGACTGATGCTACCGATGCGCTGCTAAAAGTCACACAACCGCTCTTACTGCGATTTTGGATTATTTTTTTTATAATATCAAGTAACGGGACGAACAAGCCGTGGGCCCGTTGGTAAGCGATACGCCTGTCTATAACAGTTGCTGTGCCACTCTGAGCTTTAAATCGCAAAGATCGGAGGGGCACTGCCACTGCGCCCATCACTCTGAGACCTAAGTTGACAAGTCCCATGTGCCTGTAATTTCACCAGCACCCCTACCCTTCAAGACTGGAACGCAATAATGCTCACTTTACTGCTTTGCGGCAGAAATAGGTGGCCCCTATTTCTGGACGAACTCTTTCACAAGGAGCTCTACTCCTGCTAAATTTGAATGAACAATGAATTTGTCTTTTGTAATTGCAGCGAAAACAGCGACAGACGCGGCTGGCTCGGGTGGCGACTCGTCTCCCGACGACGACAGCGACGATGAAGATGATCGTGTCACCGCCACCGAAGTTAAACACGATGAGGTCAGTTGTTTAAGATAATCTACAACCACACTCGTAGTAAAACAATCCATAACACAATATTTACATACATGCTCTCTCAAGTCGGTTCCTTATTACCAGAGTTCGAAATAGGTAGAGCATATTTAGATAAACTTCTAGTAATATGGATAAGTAAAATGGATAATACCTCCCCCCTAGTGTTGTTAAAAAACCGGTTTTTTTAGGTGAAAAAAAAAACATGAAATGAAACCGTTTTTTTTTCTGGAGTACGTTTTTTTCTAAAAGTATGAAAATAAAAATATGACAATTGTATTTTTTTACTACATTTCCTCTTTTGTTGTTAATATTATTCTTCGTAGATAAATTGCACAAAATAAATGGGCAACTCTCGTAGTGTTGTCAATTTGTGGCGGAATTCAACTCAATTGAGTATTTTGTGGGATTGACGCTATGTGGAAAAATGCGGGGTTTTACCTTTTTTGCATTGGTGTTGCATCGCTACTTTGATGATTACTGATAAAAACACTACTTATTTATTTATCTAAGAGCGATATCAATATTTTTTCCACATCGCACATATCCCTTATATAGCAACATTTACATAGAATTATTAGCAAGCCGCTTATACATAGGGCGCATTATAAGTTTCCGGAACTGGCCACTTACATAAACAATATTTATAAAGTAATTACAACATTTGAAAATGGAACTCTTTGGCTTTAGAATATAGTTTGTTTCATCTGACTGTTACTTGTTTTTACATTGTGGCGTCATTTTAGAAACTGGTTGTCTACATCACTATGGATTTAACTCGTGAAAATATTCGTAGTATGATTTTCTACGACTTTAAGAGTCGTATTCCAGAACTCTACTCAGTGCTCAAGTCTGGACTTGAGTATGATTTAAAGCACTAGAAATCATACTCAAATCGTTGCCATTAGGGTCATATTCCAGTGCTTTAAATCGTACTCTAATCCTTACTTGAGCATTGACTAGAGTTCTGGAGTACGACTCTAAGTGTAATTTAACAGCTCAGCGGAGCTTCGCTCGGCTTCAAACTGCTTTTGGCGATGAAGCACCATGCAAGACGACTATTTATAGTTGGTTTGCAGAATTCAAACGCGGTCGTGTGAATCTCAGTGACAAATTTCGTGATGGTCGCCCGATAAGTTTTCAGAATGAATAAGAAAAAAACCCAAAAAGGGTCAGAAATGAATTTATTGTTTCTCAAAATAATCTCCGTTAGCGTTAATGCACTTTTTCATACGAATGAACCAAGCCGAGCGAAGCTCCGGTGAGCTGTTAAATTACACTTAAAGTCGTAGAAAATCATACCACGAATATTTTCACGAGTTAAATCCATGATGTAAACAACCAGTTTCTAAAATGACGCCACAATGTAAAAACAAGTGACAGTCATATGAAACCTTAGAATAATAACGCATAGAATGATAGTTTCATATCAAACGAACTGTCACAAGTGAGGCAAAAACCAAATTCATGTAGGCGTAAGCAACTTGTAACTACGCTCGTCGGCACGCACACAAATATACAAATAATGATGCCATGGAATAACATTTCCCTCAAAAGTGGGGAAATTGTATCTTGCTTAACTCATAATTAAGTTAAAGGTGCCTACAGATTTGCCCGACATTGTCGATCAGGTGCCTACAGATGTGCTCGATTTTGTCGATCGTTACTGTCGATCGACAATGTCGATCAGGTGCCTACAGATATGTTCGGTTTTGTCGATGAAAAACGAATATAGCACTTATTTGTAAATCCAAGATGGCGGACACGATTTTTCAAAATATGCTATATGGGTATCCTTTTCGAGGTATTTGGGGATGCTCATTACGAATATGGCACTCATTTCTAAATCCAAGATGGCGGACACGAGTTTTAAAATAAATGCAATATGGGTATCATTTTCGAGGTACTTGGGGGTGCTCATTACGAATATGGCACTCATTTCTAAATCCAAGATGGCGGGCACGATTTTTTCAAAAAAATGCTATGTGGGTATCATTTTCGAGGTATTTGGGGATGCTCAATGTGAATATGGCACTATTTGTAAATCCAAGATGGCGGGCACGATTTTTCAAATAATGGCAAGTTGGGTAACGTTTTCGAGGTATTTGGGAGTGCTCATTACGAATATTGCTTTTCTTTGAACTGTCGTGTTTGCCATCTTGGATTTAGAAATGAGTGCCATATTTGTATTGAACATTCCCAAACATCTCGAAAACGATACCCAACTTGCCATTATTCGAAAAATCGCGCCCGCCATCTTGGATTTAGAAATAAGTGCCATATTCGAAACCTAAAACCGAAAATGCCATAAGCAAACATTAAAGAAAATAACTGTTAAAATAGATTAAAAAATCGCTTAAGAATGCTCCCCTTTTAAGAAAATAAAATATTTCAATATAAAATATTTCGCTTGAGTTACGAAAAGAAAGACATTATAAGAAGCTATCAAAGTTGTACTGGTGGTGCCAACACTATAGTAGAAACAAATATATACTGTAAATTTGTTGCAATATGTGCTCCAATTAAAATAAAATTAAAATAAATAATTACTCAATAAAGCATGAACGCAGAGCCGTTAAAAGTATTATAAAATAATTAAGTGTCCCAATCACTTACAGGAGTTAACGAAAACATTTAATGTTTAATCAAGTAAATATTAGTTCAAGATGCGCAAATAAATCGAAATTACAGGCACCACTAAAATTTACTTAATATAATTATTTTAAAACAGAATAGCAAAATGGGGAGAAAAAAAATTCGTTACTTTGCAACACTTTCGTATCTTGTTGCCGCGAAATTATTTATCTGTTTTAGTGAATATTTACATAAAAAAATGAGTTGAAACGCATTACTTACTTGTGGAATGCGATGTTAGTGTCTATTTTATGTTTGTCTGTTGTATTTTTACACCCATTTACCGCACGTTGCGTCATTTTTAGCAAAAAATTTTGGAGCTGTTCGCGGTGCAATATGACCTTGAGCACTAACAGCCCGCGCGCTCCTGGGAGCGCGTTTGGAAGCCTCTAACTTGCCTCACTTAGCGTGTGCGGGCTAGGTTTCTATGCGTTATTATTCTAAGTATGAAACAATCTGTATTCTACAGCTAAAGAGTTCCATTTTCAAATGTTGTAATTACTTTTTAAATATTGTTTATGTAAGTAGCCAGTTCCGGAAACTTATGGTGCGCCCTATGTGTTCACATATATATATTATTAAAACAAAAGTTAGTGTCTTATTTTATTTCAGTTATTCCATTTTACTTTTTCTGAAAAAAAAAACCAAATTTTGAAAAGACCAGAGGTACTGTGTTTTTTTTTTCAAAAATGTGAAAAAAGAACATTTGGTATTTTTTCAAGTTACAACACTGCTCCCCCTGAAGCACTGGAATGATTGAAAGAAAAGCAAAAAAAATCAAATCAAAAGAAAAAGAAACAAATGGCGGGTTTTAATAGTTATTAGAAAATTAAAGATAATTAATTTTTAATTTACGTATATTACGTTGTGCGTTTCTTGATTATTTGTTACCATTAAGCTGATGGCTCTGAAGCCAATGCTTTATAAATAAATAAATAAATAACAAAACAAAATAGTTAATAAAGTAATTTTACTTACAATTACAGATAGAAACATAAAACTGTTATTGGTTTGCATTGTAGACACACACAGCAATGTATTACAACAAATGGATTAAAAGAGAAAGACACAGAAATAAAAATAAAAATGAATATGTATAAAAATGAAGTGTCTCGTGTATGGTGCTAATTTAGTGCGACTGAGATGCACTCCATGGGACCCACATAATACCAGCGCGCGCCGTGGCTGTTCTCTGCCACGGGATAAGCTGAGTGGTGCCCATTCAGTACCTTTAATTGTAATTTTAATTTATTTTCTAATTTATAAGTACAGTTTAAAATGAATGGTACTGAATAAAAAAAAATTAAAGATAAGAATCAAAACAAACAAACAACAAGAAATTAAAATTTATTTTATTAAATATCATGATGTTTTTATTTAAAAGCAGTTTAATTAAAAAATACTCCACTAGTTTGTTATTATTATAGAACCACGGGAACGTGGCCCCGATGTGGCAACAGACGTTGGTTCGAGTACAGTCAGATCGAAGGATTTTTTCTTTGTGTTGCTCGTTGTCTGTATCAATTAATAATTACAAAAGAACAACAAGAAATTAAATTAAAATACGTAAAAAGCCAAACACTAACCTAACGGATAATGATCGACACCTTGTGTGTGCTGTAGCAAACATATATATATATATATATCATGGCTCAGTGCGAAATTTGCTCTAAAGCAAAGCACTACTTTTCACATACTTTTCAGCATCACCAGTGATCGGAATTCTCTGTTTCTAATGAATAGATAAATGTCTACATATAAATACAAGGAATGACAGAGTAGTTAAAACCACCATATACATATTAATTAATTACTTTTGTTCGAATTCCGGGATCCCGGAAATACCTTTGTTGTATCGTAGGATGAAACTACTCAGCTAAAACTACTCACCTAGGACTGAGCTGAATTGGATTTTAAAGTAATTCTAGTGGTGCCATGTAAAGAACGCATGCATTTAGAGTTACTTACAATTTCAACTTTCTAGGTGAGTAGTTGTATCCTGCTATGTAGTTAAACTATTACCGGAAATCCGAAATTCGAAAAATTTCAATTTTTAATTTGTATTTCATTAATATTTGGTAGTTAACCACTCTATGTCACTCCTTGTATATGTAGACATTTATCTACTCATTTGGAACAGCCTATTCCTTTGGGGCTAGCGCGTTGCGGTGCATCAAGACAAAAAAATTTAACGCAGTGCCGTAGTAAAACGATTGCTAGTTACACATAAAAAATAAACAAAAAAATATAATAATTCCAAATATAAATTCTCTCTCTATTTTGATCTCTGTCTATTAGTGGATATCGATCACGTGACCGCACTGTCTTTTTACAGCAGACGATTTGTCTTTGAA